TTTGTGCACATGAGAAGTTTTACTTGAGGAACAAAGCGATGAAAGAAGAAGACAAGAGAAAATCATATCTACCGTACAAGCAAGATCTCTTTGGACTTTTCTCGAATATTAATCGTTACGGAAAAAGTTTTCCTCACTTTTGATCTTCTCGTTGGATCTATCTGGGGAATTATTAGTTTTTTAATGCGATTTTTACATTCGTTTCTAATAAGTTATAATATCTTCTTTAGTAGCTAGTAAAAAGATGTAGTTGGGTATTATTATTTAATAATTACATACTTTTATTCCTGGGTTTTGTACAGAGTTAAAAGTTTCATCATCATGTTCATAAATCTGTTGTAGGAGGATTTTGATGTAAATGTAGTTGTAGATATTTTAATTCGATTAATAAATGACAACATGAAGAGATATGTTGCAAGTTGCGATGTGTGCACTTTGATGTTTGGTGAGCAAGATAAATGGAAAGAAACACGAATGTAAATGTAGACAATAATTTAACCTTTTTTTTTTATAAGGGACCGTGTTTTGGTAAATGCCATCTACTAACTGCCAAGGACAAGTTCTTGATACCTCAAATAATTGTCTCTTAGACTAGGGTCACAAACATTCGTAGATTATTATTACACACAATCAGTCACTCACACATCATTCCGTAGCCAAATAAGTAACACCTTCCTAACTAGGCTACGCAATCATTGGTGGTTCTAATTGGTAATTTGAAGAATAGCGAATGGTGTGTGTTTTCATAGAGCTGTTAATTGGGCTGATTACGTCGACATGGACATGTCCAAAGCAAACATTTTGTTTTGACGGACAAATATGGTCATAGCCATAAATGACTGTCTTCAATAATGACCGCATGTAATAAAGCCCGCGTCCAATAATGACCGCGTTTAAATGAGTATGTGCATAGATCATACAGAACATGTAGTTTAAAAAGCTAAAAAAATTAGTTTGAATATGTTTTAGTTTAAATGGGCATGCCCATGGATCATAAAGGACGCATAGTCCTTTTGCTACTTCCTCATGTGCATAAAACTAAGGTTCCACATTAGACAAACGGTCATCAAAAGTGACATTGAACAGTTCAAGCACATCGAATTGTATTCTAAAATAGACTAAAGCTTCAAAAATCTTGAATCAAAAGAAATAATACAAATCTTTCATCTGTAACTTAAGCCTAAAACATACTAAAGCAAACACAGCCTTAAGATTTTTTCTTTGAATTATAAACTTTTTCTTTCTGTTCAAGAATATGAACATTAAGCTTATTCTTTTCTTCTTCCTTTTTTCCTCTGTGAACTCAAATTGATTACCTAAAAATAGGAAAACCAAATAAAACTTTATAACCGTAAATTATATTCAAAGATGTCAAAATAGCATAAGCAAAACCAAATAAAAGAATCATATCATCACAATGAGTA